AGTGGCAACCACTCGATGTTTCTCTCTCTTCCTCCCTCTCTATCTGAAAATAAATGCAAAAATGTCCTCGGGTGAGGATTTAAAAAAAAAGGGCTGTTTGGCCCACACAATAATATATTTGAATTAGTAGCCAAATGTAAAATTCAAAAGATTTCATGTAAAAATCTGTATTTCCAACTTCTGAAAAGTAGAGAAAGTTGGCAACACCAGGGCTAGTGTCATCAAATGGTACATGCTTTTCAGTTGACCAGTGTTCCCACTCCTCCCCAGTGACTCCCAGGCACTGACAATGATGGTCAGCTGCCACCTATCTTGTTCAACTTGAACTGTTTTATCTTACTCCAGGCTTGATTCACTATTCAGCCTCATTAGTTATTTGATTTTATAACCCATTACCTAGTTGTTATTAGGGTTCAACCAAGAAAGAGAAATCATAAAGTAATTTGAACAGGGAAAGTTTAATATGAAGAATAACCCTAACAGGGGAGTGAAGTAATAAGAAATTAGGTAATGAGAGAAAACTCCAAGGAATACAAGAGTAGCAGATAAAAGGACCAGTGACTATCCTAGGGTCCAGATAGAGTGCTCAAAGAAGAGGTCCCACCAGATCTGAGATACAAACCCTGCTGAAGAGGGCATGGCTAGGCTCAACGTGAGGGTTCTGAGACCAATCCTGACGTGTGTGAGGGGTGTGCTTCCCCATACAAAGCAACACTAGTGAGGCAGGCTAGTAAGAATTTAGGAAAATTCCTTGGCAAGTGGTACGGGGAAACTGAGACAGACAGCTGAACAAACTGGGGGAGCAATTTACAGCCAGATACAGAAGGTACCAGGGCAGAAAGACCCAGGTGCCTAGCAAGGGGCAAAACTGGTGCCAGACCTCACCCCTCAGGGTAGCCTTTCCTCCCTTGGCATATCACTGGTCTTGTGGTTTAGACTCCCTGCTCTGGTGCTGAGCAATCAGTGGAGACCTGAAAGGGCACACCTGCAAAAGCTGATGACTATTCTATTGAGATACTCCTCTAAACTCCCAGCCTTTAAAACCCTCAAGACCGAAGGACCCAGCAAAAGCTCTCCCTCCCAGGAGCAGGTCTGCACCTTTCCCTTCCCCTCTTATTCCCCAAGGCATGCATCTCCTAAACTCTAAGGGAACCCACAAGATTTGAAACCAGGGGAGTAATGGGCAGCAGCAGCTCGTCCTGGGCTAACCCCCTAAACCCATCCCCAAGGCCCCTTTTCTCCAACTCTCCAGTGAGCTGACCAGCTCTGCCGTGGCGCATTTCTTTCTCATACTGTTTCTAGAGAGCCAAAGCACCCCACCTAGGCTCTCTCCAGTTGCTTCTTCTATCCTAGGCCCTTCCTTGGTTCACTGTCCCCAGATTTAATAAATGTCCTCTCAAAATCACCTAGACTGGTACTGTGATCTCTTTCCTGCATGAAGTCAAGAACCCACATGCTACTGGCCAGCCTTAGTCAGACCTGTTCCAGGCGGCCAGTCCCCTTTCCAGTAACACTGGGACACCAACTGGTATCCTACAATCCAACTAAATTCTAACACTATCTACCTAGAGACAGTGTCATATCCCACAGGGTAAGAGCTCAGTCTTACAAGACTGCCCAAGTCTCCCCACTTCATATGCCAGTCAAAAGTCCAGGTTGTTGCCCTGGCCGATTTGGCTCAGCACAGCGGTTGGAACATCAGTCCGAGGACTGAAGGGTCTCGGGTTTGATTCCAGTCAAGGCACATGCCTGGGTTGCACGTTCGATCACCAGCCTAGTAGGGGTCATGCGGGAGGCAACCGATCAATGTGTGTCTCTCTTACATCAATGTTCCTCTCTTTCTCTCTCTCTCTCTCTCCCTCCCTCCCTCCCCTCCTCCCACTCTTTCTGAAAGAAATCAATGTAAAAATATCCTCGGGTGAGGATTAAGAAAAAAAAAGTCCAGGTTGTCACCTGTGCTTCTGACCAACTGGCTATATATATTGGAGGTTCCAAAGACCCCCTCTCCTTAGGTTCAATTAATCTGCTAGAATAGCTCACTGAACGCAGAGAAACATTTTACTTACTAGTTACCAGTTCATTATTAAAAGATATCTCAGGGACAGCCAGATGGAAGAAATTCATTGGCCAAGGTATGGGGAAAGAGTGCAGTTTCCTTGCACTCCCATGCACTCCCCAAGCATGAAACTCCCTCAGGACCTCCATGTGTTCACCAACCTAAAGCTCTTTGAACCCCCACCCCCTTTTTTCACAGGCAGAGAGAGTGGAAAGGGAGGAAGGGGGAGGGAGGAGACAGAGAGAGAGAGAGAGGAACAGAGACAGAGAGAGAGACAGAGAGAGAAAGACAGAGAGAGAGAGAAACATTGATGTGTGAGAGATTAATTGCTCCCAACACGTGCCCTGACCAGGGAATCAAACCTGCGACCTGCGACCTGCGACCTGCGACCCTTCAGTGCCCAGGCTGACACTCCAACCACTGAGCCACACTGGCCAGGGCAGAACCCCCTCCCTTTTTTAATGGACACATCGTAGCATAGGTGAAATTAATTTAATCATCAGCCACTAGCAATTGAGTCAACCTCTAGCCCCTCTTCCCTGCCCAATAGGACTAAAGTTTCCAATTCTCTTATCAGCCCCCATCCTTAGGTTATCTAGTGGCCTTAGAGAAGTCACCTCATTCACATAACTAAAGACACCTCCATGGCTCTCGTCACTTAGGAAATTCTAAGGGTTTTAGATGCTCCATGCCAAAATCAGGGATGAAGACGAAATACGTATTTCTTATTATAAATGACAGAATCACAGGCAGAGAAGTTTTTGTGGTCCACAGTGGTGGAACTTGCTACAAATCTGCACTCTAGGCTTTCAGGGAAAGCTGTTCATAGTAAAGTACCTTACTAGAGAGACTCCTATAATACCTCCCAAGGGAGGTACCAGTGGAAACTACTGTCAGCAGGAGTCAGAGGCTTGCAGAGCTGTCTGTGGTGCAGGAGCTGGGCACTGGAGAAGCCTAGCTGGAAGCTGGAGCTAGTGCTGCAGAAGCCTGCACTAGAGAAGCTGGACACGGGGGAGGCTGCCTATACAACAGAAACTGGTGCCAGAGAAGTTGTCTAGGAGCCTACTGAACAAGTGAGCCAGAACCAAGAAGAAAAACCTCTTCCTCTAACAAGTTCTCTCCAGTATCCTTTATTGACAAACCTCAACATTGTGCCAGCTGGCAAAGGAAAAATATTTAAAAGGCCCAGATCCATTTTTGCAGAGTAATCAATAGAGGGTAAATGTGGAGCTGAGAGTTAGTAAATTGATGGCATACTAGCCTATTATAACTACATAAAAAGGTACACAGGAGCCCAGTGAGTGCCAAGGACAATAGAGAGCAAATAAAATGCTTGCTCTTCAGGCTATTTAGCTAATCAGACTTTTCTGGTTATTTAGATTAATGAGGTTTCTGGATGAACAAGTTTTACACAAGAGAGGTGCTATCAATATTCTTCTCCTTCATCTCTATTATAACAACTAATATTTATTCAGTATTACAATGTCAAGCATGTTCTATTATAATCACTTTACATACATTAACTCAATCCTACAAAGTAGGTACTTCTATTATCGCCACTTTACAACAAAGCATACGAAGTTCAAGTAATTTGCCCAGATTCACACAGCCAGCAAATGGCAGAGCCACGGTCTGAGCCTGGGTAGTCTAGCTCTAGAATCTTTAATCTTAAGCACTATGATAAACTGCTTCTCTATAAAACCCATTTCACTGTTTCAGTTTTTGCTTTTACCACCTGCCTTCTTTCCCCAATTTGCTTTTGTCAATTGCATAAAGAATTAATGAAAGGATCATACATCAAGGTGCAGAAGCTACAGTAAATTTTTTTTGCTTAACAGAAACTGACCCCTAGGTAAATACAGGGTTTGCAACAGTTTGATGTAATTATCTAGTAGTGGACCCCAAGACCCTGTCACTTAAAAATCCGTGTAACTGGGGTAGAAGAATTTCAATTGCCAGACCAACTGACACTTATTTCTATTTTATTTCAATAAAGTTAGACATCGAATATTAGTATTCAAGGAGGACTGAGATTTCTTTAATTACATCATAGGTTTAAAAAATACCTATTTATGCCCTGGCCGGTTTGGCTCAGCGGTTAGAGCGTCTGCCTGCGGTCCCGAGAGACCCGGGTTCGGTTCCCGCTAAAGGCACGTACCTCGGTTGCAGTTTGTCCCCGGCCCTGGTTGGTCGTGCGGGTGGCAGCCACTCGATGTGTCCCTTTCACATCGATGTTTCCCTCTCTCTCTCTTCCTCTCTCTCCCTCCCACTCTGTCTGTACAAAAAATGGAAAAATGTCCTCGGATGAGGATTAAAAAAAAACAAAAAACCTATTTATACTTACACTTAGCATTAGAATTACTATTACCTAACATTCCAAAATGACCTATGGAGACCTTAAACCATATTCAAGTCTCACATCTAAATTCTTCAACTAGAGGTTTATAACTGTCACATACAGAAGCATTCTGAATCCATTTCAAGTCTTCTTCTCTCAAAAAAGTGTATCAATTCTTAAATAGCACAATTTAGAAATGACTAAACTATGAAAATAAATGCATGAAATTAATCTTTGATAGTTCAAAACAGAAACTGCTTCAGATTCCAGTTTGGCGGGTGTTAATTTAAAAGGCATCTAAGGTGTAGTCAGTTCTTACAGGTTTCAGCGGTAACTGAAGATTGTGTTACCTCTGTAGTTTCAATCCCGCTACACTGACTAAGTACAAAGCGTGAGAGGTACTGTGAAAGGTCAAATATTAGTGATGTCAAGAACATTCCTAAATTGGGACCCCTGTGCACCTGTCTCTGTCATGGAGCGGCCTTCCACGGTCTCCTCTGCAGATGGGCCCTGTGGCCTAGTGTCCTGGTTCCTGCCGCTTGTGATCTCAAACTGAGGCCCACAAGGAGTTGCTGCTGAGGTTCCCACCAGTCCAGAAGCAACAGTATGGCAGCCATCCCCTCCACTGTCTCACTCGCGGCCACCCACAACTACCTGTGCTGCCTGGGTTCCACTTCCAGTAACAGCTCCTGCGGAAGTGCCGAGTGCCCTGGAAAAGCCGTCTCCCACCGCCCTGGTCTCCCTAAGGTGGACCTGAGTCACCGGTGGGCAAGCTTCTTTTTTGGGAAGTCCACTCTCCCTTTCATGGCCACAGTGTTGGAGTCCCCAGAGCACTCGGAATCTCCCCAGGCCTCCAGCAGCGTGATCACCTGTGACCTGGCTCGGGAAGCCACGAGGAAGCAGCCTGGCGGCCAGCCCGGAAAAGCCAATGCTGCTCATCCTGAATGGCCACCACCAGCCAGCCACCAGTCTTCCACAGGCCCGAGGCTCCTTTGGACCCCTCCCTGAACCTCTCCTTCTCTACCCCTTCCCTCCTCCTCACCCCACCCCACAGACCAGTAGGCTGCAGCAAGCAGAAGCACTGGGTTCTTTTATATCAAAAGAGCAAAACAACAAAAAGGAAGTTGAAAGAGCCCTGCTCTTGACTACTCAAGCCACACACAAGCCTTCCTGACACCCCATAACCATGTATGTGCCTTGCACCAGATGGAAAACAAACTACAAGCAGCCAGCAAAATTTAAAAAATAATAATAAAAATAAAATAAAGTAAATATATATATGTATATAAAAATAAAAATCAGGGAGCTTAAGGGGTATAATATTACTGGCATTAAGAAGTTCCTAGACAGAGATCAGGGATGGGGAATACCAAGGTCGCCTTCCCCCTTTTCGTATTGCTTAAAAGCATGTTTGTGGAATGAAGCCAGACTGAAACAACATTCTACTCTAGTAAAAAACAGCTGGTTGCAGGCTAGAGAAGAGTGGGCCAGAGACCCAGTAAAGATTTGGGACATGGAAAAGTAGAGTAGTAGGGGTCCCAAAAAGTCATGTCTTTAAAAGGGCGTGAGGGCAAGGAAGAAAGAAAATAAATGATGCAGGTTAAAATAGAAAGTAAAAAAGGGTTGCCTATTATTCATATCAGTGGACTTTGATGGAAAGAGATAGGCCCCACCCTGGAATTAATCATTACTAGTGTCAAAGGGTTTGGAGAACATTGATTAAGGAAGCATTTTCCTGCCCTGGCCAGTTCGCTCAGCAGTTAGAGCATTGGCCCTTGGACCAATGAGTTGCAGATTCAATTCTGGTCAAGGGCATGTATCTCTGTTGCAATTCATCCCCGGCCCTGGTTGGGAGGCCCTGGTTGGGGTTGTATGGGAGGCAGCCACTCGATGAGTCCCTTTCACGTCACTGTTTCTCTTTCTCTTTCTCTTTCTCTCTCTCTCTCTCTGTCTCTCTCTCTGTCTCTCTGTCTCTCTCTCTCTCTCTCTCTCTCCCACTCTATCTGAACAAAAATGGAAAAATGTCCTCAAGTGAGGATAAAAAAAAAAGGGAAGCATTTTCCTGATTGATGAAAAATAACTCAGTTATGCTCATCTACCCCTGCTAGAAGGTTATGCAGTGTATTATGTAATGTATAATAAAAATTAAAAACTAAAAAAAAAAAACAACAGTCTGGCCAGTGTGGCTCAGTGGTTGAGCATCGACCCATGCACCAAGGGGTCGCTGGTCAGGACACATGCCCAGATGTGGGCCCAATCCCCAGTGGAGGGCATGCAGGAGGTGGCCAATCGATGTTCTCTCTCATCGATGTTTCTATCTCTCTCTCCCCCTCCCTTCCTCTCTCTCTAAAATCAATAAAGAAAAAAAATTCAAAGAACAAACACAAAACAGTTCCCAGACAGAAGAGCAAATGTTTGATAAAGTTTTCTGGGCCATCTTTAACAACGGGACACAGAGGACTTTGAGCAAATGGGTCTTGCTAGGTTTCTCCCTATGACACACTACTTTATATTAAACTATAATTATCTATGATATCTCCCTTTAGGAGCAGGTTCTCTATCTAAATTCTTTTTAAGTAGTTATGGGGAAGGTCAAAGGTTTTTCCTGAGTATTTCTTAAAAATATCTAGCTTAGCCCTAGCCAGTTTGCCCAATGGTTAGAGCATTGGCCCACAGGTTCAATTCCGGTCAAGGGCATGTACCTCAGTTGCAGTTCATCCCCAGCCCTGGTCGGGGTCGTGTGGGAGGCGACCGGTTAATGTGTCTCTCTCACATCGATGTTTCTCTCTCTCTCCCTCTCTCCCACTCTATCAGAGGGAAGATTAAAAAAATAAAAATAAAAATAAAATAACAAGCTTAGCCCTGGTCAGGTAGCTCAGTTGGTTGGAACACCATCCACGTACTGAAAGGTTGCAGTTTCAATCCCTGGTTAGGCTGTGTACTACCAGAGGCAACCAATCCATGTTTCTTTCTCTCTCTCTCTATTATTTTCTCTCAAAAACATATCCTCAGGTGAGGACTAAAAAATAAAAATAAAAATAACCAGCTTAAAATAATCAATATTTCCAAAGGCATATTTTGGGGTGCCAAACTTTGCTTCCCTCTCACCCACTCACAACAAGGCTACCAGCCTCAGGACTGTTTCTGGAGCCTCTTCTTAAGTTCAGTGAAAAGGCAAGGGCCAAGAAAAGTGGAAACGTGGCCCCCGGGGTCTCAGCTTGGAGACCTGGGTAAGTGGACAGGCAAACCAAAATTTCCTCATCATGACCTGGAAGACGACCAGTTGTTCTGTTTCAACTCCCAAATGTCAATGATTGTTTTCCTATTAGGCTTCAGGTGTATCACACCTGGACATTTCAGACTATTAACCTACATGAAATAAAGTTTTCAAAATTTTTTTTAAAGTTCCTAATGTGGGGAACTAAAGGTGCCAATTTAGATCCATTTCATTCCTTTTTTACACAGTAAAAAAGGAAAAGAAATACTATCTAATGGTCAAGTGATTTGGACTAGTAATCAAACTGACTTTGTTTCAAATCCCACCTCAATCAGTGTTGGTGACCTCTCCAAGCCTGAGTGTGCAAATTTGTAAAGTGAGGTTTAACAGTATCTATCTTGGTCTCATCCCGAGGTTTAAATATGATAATGCATATCATGCCTGGTGCACAGAAGGAGCTCAGTAAGCAATAACTATTAATAATATTAATGTGGACATAAGTTTCAATGATATTTATCCATATAATACCCTAGAGAAAAGAAAGTTTTTCAGGAAAATAATATTGAATCAGATGTACTGAGATATTATTCGATCCAAACTTGATTTTTTTTTTTTTAGAGAGTGAGAGGGAGGGAGAAAAGGTGGGAGAGGAAGAGAGAGCGGGGGAGAGAAACATCACCTAGTTGCCTCCCTCACAGGTGCCCCGACCAGACCATGACCGGGAATCAAACCTGCAACCCCGGTATGTGTCCCTAACCAAGAATCAAACCTGAGACCCTTCAGTTCATGAGGCAACACTCCAACCACTGAACCACACCGGCAAGGGCCCAAACTTAGTTTTACCAAACTAAGAAAATAATCTGAAAAAAGACAAAGTTACTGACTGCTTTCCAGACATGGGTAATTTACAGAGACTGCAAACTTTCAAGTGTTAGAATTTAGAAATGAAATTCCAAACAGATGTAAAATCTATTGCATGATCATGAAAATAAAAGGTTAATATACCAGATAATGCAAAAGTCTTTAAAAGTATAACTTTGTCAAATCTATTTTTAAAAAACCAATTGCCATAAAAAAGGATACTGAGCAAATCTGTTCTTTAGATGAAAACCTTTGATTTGGTGGTAACTCAAAGCCCCTAACAATATTTATTATGAATGAGTCAGTCATTATAATTAGACACAAAACAAAACTTTTACACAGCTTAAAATGAGAATAAGTATAATAAAGAAAAGAAGGTTAAATATTAAGAAAAGTACTGTAAGGCAGGAGAACTAGAGGAAAAGTCCTGGCCTCTGCAAATGGAATATTCATGAATAGGGAGGACAACCCCCAAACAAGGCCTCTCCCATTCCAAACAAATTGCTGAGGAGTTCCCCTGTTTTTTTTTGTTTTTGTTTTTGTTTTGTTAATCCTCACCCCAGGATATTTTTCCATTGGTTTTTTGTTTGTTTGTTTGTTTTTAGAGTGGAAGGGAAGGAGAGAAAGAGAGAAAGAAACATCTATGCAAGAGACACACATTGATTGGTTGCCTCCTGCAACGTCAGATATCAAATCTGCAACCCAGGTACATGCCCTCGACCGAGAATTAAACCTGCAACCTGTTGGTCCACAGGACAACGCTCTAACTGCTGAGCCAAACCGGCCATGTTTTAAAGGGAGGTTTCAGAAGTCTGTTCCAAAGTAAAAAGTTTAAAAATTACAATTTAGAACAAAGTTATAAAATGAAAACCTTAAAAAGTTTTCATAACCAGTACTGAGAATAATCCTCAACATTTTAAAAACTCCTTATTATGTTTTAAATGCAATGGCAAGGCCTGTGCTTATATTATTTCATTATATACTCACAAAAATCCTATAAGGTCATTTAACAGAACAGAGATGGATGTTAAATAGCTTGCTCAAGTAGTGACACTGATTTTGAACTATATTACCTGTCTCAGACAATTCCTTTTGAAATGAGTGCATTATTAATTATCTTAAATTCTTTACTGAAGTCAGAGTAGCACTACTTTCATCTGCATACCTATGGATTGATACTGTTTTAACACATGAAAAATGTGGCATTATAGTCCAAATTAGTCTGCAATAAGAACAAAACTGAGAGAAAGCCTTCAAAAAGTTTATAGTAATATGATCCTTACAATTAAATGAGTAATTGTTATGTCTCTTCAATATATTAACACTACATTTGGGCCTGTATTTTGTATTTTTTTCCACCACTTCATTTTCTTATTATTTCATTTTTACAAATAATATTGGGTCTTTAATGGAATGGAAATTAAACAAAAACTGGCCATTTACCAGATAGTCTGAGAAACACTGCCTCAGAGCTCTGATGAAAACACAGCTTGCTCTCTGTTAACAGCTCTGTGACAAAAAGACATGCTCAGGTAAATAACAATACTCAGATCATTGATCTAAAATCCCATTTAGGTCATTGTTAATATCTTAACTTCATTCATCAATCAGAGCACCTGCTAAACTGGTTTATACTAGGTAATGTTAAGTTGTAGTCTCTCAACCTACACATGTAGTAATTCCATTAAGAGACAAAGAAAACTGCCCATTAACAATTGAACCTTAAGCCCTGGTGGGTTTGGCTCAGTAGTTAGAGCATCTGCCTGCAGACCAGAGTCTCGGATTCA